AGAGGACCCAGAACCAATCCTGGTGGAATTTTGCTGGTCATAGGCCTCCAGAACGAAAAGCAACCCTCCACCACCATTTCTGAAGAAGGATCCCGACCTGCAACATCAGCTTTCCTGCTCCTCATGATGCTGCCTGGCATCCTGTGTTCCTCCAGCTCCACACTGTGTTATTTCCACCATTACTCTCTGTCTCAATTGCTCTATATCAATATGATTGCTAGACAGTGGCCCTTTAAGTTTGAATGCATTATCAAGTTCCTGCCTAGTTTCCAACTTTTTTCTTAAAATTGATTCTGCCAACATTTATTACTAATTTTTAATTGTCCTCAAAGCCGTTGGCCAGCACTTGCAACGAATCCATGGTTGCTTAGCTTCGGCCAAATGGTGTTCTCCCATTGATGACTGGGACCAACCAGGAGGACTTTTCCATTTGCAAGCTTTCCCTTGTGTCTGTACATTCTCAAGAAAGTTAACTTGAAGTTTTTGTTGGTATCTCTAGTACTTGCTCTATAAAGCTGGTGAGTCTTTTTAAAATTCGTATTGGTGATATAGGTGCCACCAGAAAGGCTAACATTTAATGCCCATCCTTTGCTGCTTTTTGTCGTTTATATAAATGATTTGGATGTGAATATAGGAGGTATGGTTAGTCAGTTTGCAGATGACACTATAATTGGAGGTGTAGTGAACAGCGAAGAGGGTTACCCCAGAGTATAATGAGACCTTGATCAAATGGGCCACTGGGCCGAGGAGTGGCAGATGGAGTTTAATTTAGATAAATGTGAGGTGCTACATTTTGGTAGCGCAGGACTTACACACTTAATGGTAAGGCCCTGAGGAGTGTTGCCGAACAGAGGGACCTTGGAGTGCAGGTTCATAGCTCCTTGAAAGTGGAGTTGCAGGTAGACAGGATAGCGAAAAAGGTGTTTGGTATGTTTGCCTTTATTGGTCAGTGCATTGAGTATGTGAGAAGCCATGTTCCGGCTGTACAGGACATTGGTTAGGCCACTTTTGGAATAGTGCGTGCAATTCTGGTCTCCCTGCTAAAGGAAAGATGTGAAACTTGAAAGTGTTCAGAAAATATTTACAAGGCTGTTGCCAATGTTGGAGCGTTTGATGTACAGGGAGAGGCTGGGTAGGCTGGGGACATTTTCTCTGGAGTGTCAGAGGCTGAGGGGGTGACCTTCGTAAGTTTTTAAATCATGAGGGACATGGACAGCATGAATAGTCAGTCTTTTCCACAGCATAATGGAGCCTAAAACTAGAGGGCATAGGTTTAAGGTGAGAGAGGAAAGATTTAAAACAAACCTAAGGATCAACATTTTCATGTGGAGGATGGAACGTATATTGAATGAACTACCAGAGGAAGTGGTGGAGGCTGGTACAATTAGAACACTTCAAAGGCATCTGGATGGGTATATGAATAGGAAGAGTTTAGAGGGATATGGGCCAAATGCTGGCAAATGGGGCTAAATTACTTTAGGATATCTGATTGGCATGGACAAGTTGGACTGAAAGGTCTGTTTCCATGCTGTACATCTCTACGACTCTTTAACTCTTTGTGGTGAAGGCACTTTCCCCTGGTGCGATTAGGAAAGGAATTCTAGGATTCGGACTCATTTACCATAAAAGAGCAATAGTATAATTCCAAGATAAGATATTGCATGGCCAAGAGGTTCTGATGTTCCAGTATATCTGCTACCCTTGTCTTTTACGTAGTAGAAAGCATGGTCCTGGACAGTGATGACTCATGTGAGTGTCTGATTCCATGATCAGAAGTCAGTCGCTGGTTCTAAGTATAATTCCGGTGTTGAAACCATGACAAGGACTAATATGTGGCCATTTGACATGGGGGACAGAGGATGTGAGGTCATAGCTGTTATCACCAAGCTGAATCTTTCCCTTAACTTCCCTTAACTCCAAGTGCAATCACTTTCCTGCAAATTATCTGTCCCCCTAATCCAGAACAGCTGAAAAGTCGGTGCTTATCTTACAACCCAGCTAGTTCAAAGTGGACCAAGGATTGAATTTGAGGCTAACATTTTTGTGAGGTTCAGCATCATAAATGTTCTGTGATTTATGCACTGAGTTTATGTCGAGCCCTATATGTTCCTTTCCCTGGATAAGCATAGAAATAGTAAACTTACTTTTTATTCCCTGATGATACAAAATTTTTAACGAAAATGAAAGAGGAGAAGATGGTATGTGACATACCGAAGAAAAATCTTTGTCGGTAGGAGAAAACTAACCAAAAAAGATCCAATTTCTATGAATATTCAAATAAAGCTTCAAAAACAATGTAATGCTGTCAGAAAAACATTTAACAACTGTAGGACAAAGACATGATCCATTTTTCAGATGCAATGCTTAAATTCTTTCTGTTGAAGGTGATTTTTTTGTTTAAAATATTTTCTCATTCTATGTAACAATCTAATAGTTTGGTTTATATTGTTGTAAAAATAGAATAGACAACCTAGCCTAGAGTTTGCTTCTCTGCCAAAGTGCTCTTTTGTTATTTGACACCTCGAAGCCACCACTTAGGTTGTGAATACAGAACACTTGAAGTTTTTACCAAATTATTTAACCAGAAGTTCCCCAGACTATTTTTATTCCAAGAAAATAGGGACAACGAAAACAACAATGAAAATGAAAATCGGAAGTGATGTATAACAGACAACCGAATCTATATTGCCCATTTTATACTGTCGCCCAAAGCCGAACTGGCTCCCAGTAAAACTGTAGCTCAGTACAGTTTGAGAAATGTTTATTGAAGGTGCATCCCAGACAAAAGAAGCAACTTTGGGAGCTCTGGCAGTATCCTTCACAATAATCTATCATTAGAAGCTGATGTTGGTGATCTAGTGACTGCTGGATGGAATGCATGAGCTTCAGATGAATGTTTTTATTTGTTTGTGTGCGTGTGCATTGGCAGTAAAACAGAAGAAGTCTTATTTCAGTGTGTTGGTGGTCATCCTGCACTCGACTGTTCAAAAGTCTCTGGCTAAGTATTTCAAATGCAGAGACCTCCTGGTCTTCCATGGGTCTCAGCCAAGAGTCGCTGGCATCTTGTCATCGTCATCTGGTGACAAAACTCTTCTAACCCCTTTTATGCATTGCATTTGCTGTTGTGCTGGAGAAGCAACCTCTAATTGTGATATGCGGAACAATCCCTTTTCCGCTGTTACACTGGCACTATCCCCCACCTCTTCCTCCGTTACATTGATGACTGTATCGGTGTTGCCTTGTGCTCCCATGAGGAGCTTGAACAGTTCATCAACTTTACTAACACCTTTCACCCCAACCTCAAATTCACCTGGACCATCTCTGATACCTGTCTCCTTCCTGGACTTCTCTGTCTCCATCTCTGGTAGCCACCTCGAAACTGACATCTGTTTCAAACTCACCAACTCCCATAGCTACCTGGACTGCACCTCCTCTCACCCACCCTCCTGCAAGAATCCGAGCCCCTACTCCCAATTCCTCCGCCTCCACTGCATCTGCTCCCAAGATGGAGTGTTTCATTCTCGAACATCCCAGATGTCCTCTTATTTCAAGGACCACAACATCCCACCTCCGGTGATCAAAAATGCCCTCAACCACATCTCTTGCATTTCCCGCACTTCTGCCCTCACAACCCTCCCCCCAACAAAAATAAAGACAGAATCCCCCTTATCCTCACATACCACCCCAGCAACCTCCACATCCAATGTTTCATTCTTCGCCACTTCTGCTACCTACAGTCTGATCCCACAACCAAAGAGATATTTCCCTCCCCACCCCTACCTGCCTTTTGTAGGGACCACTCACTCCATGACTGCCTCAACTGCTCCACACTCCCCACTAACCCCACTACAACTGGCACCTTTCCATGCAACCGTAGGAAGTGCTACACCTGCTCCTACATCTCCCCCATAACCTCCATTCAAGACCCAAAGCAAACCTTTCATATCAGACAGGGGTTCACCTGTCTATCCGTCAACTTGGTCTACTGTATCCGCTACTCCCAATGTGGCTTTCTCTACGTTGGTGAGACCAAGCGTTCACTCAGAGACTGTTTCGTAGAGAATCGGTGCTCTGTGTGTGACAAATGACAACACCTTCTGGTCGCGAACT